GCTAGGTACTCCCGTGTGCACACGCACACACACATATACACACACACACAAATATATGTATGTGTAAATTTACATGTTATACATGCATATATAACCTACCTACAGAGAGTAGCAAGGATTGGCTCTAGGTATTTTTCGTTTGTCACACACTAGACTCTAAGATATTTGCCCTTAAATGCAACTTGCACATTCGCGTTGTACCTACCACTTGTTCATGCATTAGCCAGTGAGCCAGCCTCAACAATCATAGCATCGCTAAGTGCATACATGCGAATTCACCTCTTGTCATTGAGAGTGTGGTGTCCTGTGATAACCTTGGCGGTGCTGGAACCTTGAACAGTGGACAGGAGAAACTTGACCATCTTACTTAACTGTGGACAGATCCTGTGCATGTCTGAGTACTGGGCAACAAAGCCAACAGCTGCAAATTGTTACACAGAGTGATTTATTGGATAAGTTCAAGTTTATACAGTTGGGTGATGTTTATTCCTTAAATCTAAAGAGGATCAAATGGTGAGCTGGGAGTTTATGAATTTAAAGCTTACACTGTGCAGTTTTCTACTGAAAAAAAAAATAATTAAGTGTCCTTATCTGATCTCTCCTCTGAAATTGTGCTCCTTCAGAGGAAGAGAGAAAGGAGAAGAGAGAGGGCCTGTGTCCAGTTGCTAAGGCTGGGAAGGCAAGTTGGGAGCTCTGGTGGACGCTATCCCCTTCTCTGGATGAATGAGATATGCTTCCCAGGTGTCAGAGCAACCCACCGTGGCCCTTTATGTCTGCCCTCTGTGTTTTAGATTCCAGAAAGTGTGTTTTGCTTCCCTCATTGGTGCCAGAGATGCAGTACAGGGGAACCACTCCTTAGGACACAAGCACAATTCAGTTATGCGTTTGTTGACCATAAACTTCCTATGTCACCAGCTGCTTGCTGTGCACACTGACAGCGACAATCCAGAGGGCTTTTTCCTTTGGCTTTGGTCTCCCACTTCCATGACTGTGACATACCACCTTGGATAGATGGAATATCATCAACAGTAATTTTCTTAGCAACATGCATATTAACTGTGCTAAACTTCAGCCTAATATAATTAATTTGACTTCATAATAAAAGAAGAAAATTAGAAATATCTCTAATTCATTCTCTACATCCTAGGAGTAACTACTGTTGATATTATATATCTATCTTCTAATCTGCTGATTTATAGGCTTAAAAACATTTGGACTAATACCTAAAACATTCACTCTGTTTCACATAAGCAAGCATGAAGATTTATGGACGTCTTCTAAATCCTCAACAGTTACTAATTGTTGTTGGTAACCAAGCTCTGGTGAGGGAGGCACCAGGTTTGTGTGGAGGAGTCTGGGTGTTGGAGGAGAGCCCTGTGTTTTTATCATCATTTGGGTGCTGATTCATCACATAACTGGCTACCGAGCCTCAGTTTCCCCATCTGTAACATGAGACCTGTAGTGCCATTAAGGAGGAACAGGCAGTCTTGCCTACAGTAAATCACAGCCAATAAATGCCACTTGACTTTCTGCTTCCTCTTTGTCCCAGGAGCAATGCCAACATATGGAATTAATGTCTTGAAACACTTTTAAATCACAGAAGCCTAAAGCCGTAGGAAGCACCATTGTGCAGTGTATTGGAAGGGTCTGAGACTCTCTAGCATTAGCACTGACCTTGGCAGAACTTGTATTGCAGCCTTTTGTAGTAAATCAATATAGAAAAAACTAGATTCTCCTCATTTCTTCACAAGTGCTGGTGTGGGATTTGGTGGCTTTTTTCAGCTTGGTTGCTTCAGCATGTGTATTTGTCAGCTTTCCGTCACTATAACAAATAACAACTTATAAGAAGAAAAGGTTTATTTTGCCTTGTGATGTTAGAGCTTCCAGTCCCTGGTCAGGTGGATGCATTATGTATTTAGGCTTCTAGTACAGGTGCCAAATGGCAGTGGTGGGGAATGTATAGCAGAGCTGACTGCTTGCTGCACAGCTAGGGAGTTAACAAGAAAGGAAGAGGAAACAACCACAGCCCCCCAGAACCCTTCAAGGCCACATCCCCATGACCTACTTTCCTGCCACTAGACCCCCAGCTCTTAAAGGCTCCGCTATGTCCCAGTAGCACTGCCCTGTTGACTAAGCCTTGACGACTCCCTCCTCGCTAGACTGCTGTTTATTCCCATGAAACATTCACTACTGGTGGGCTTTGTTTTCCGCTGAAGCTCCGTGCCTTGATTGCCATTTATTTCCCCTGTAGCTCTGACTTTTACAACAACCTGGGATTTTCTCTAGACTTTGTTTTGCACATTCTAAGTGTTTCCACACCAGTGCTCATAAACTCACACTGTTCTTGAGCTCTGTTGTCAGGGGCCATTTTCTTTTATGTAGTTTCTCTTGCTTGGTTTTATAAGCAGGCTGGTCACCATTGTAATCAGTTGTTAAAAAGCAGGAACCATTTGTGCAAGGGCAATTTCTGTAAGTAAACTCTGTTTTCTGGTTTAAAAAGTCATCTACACCTTGGACAAATTAAAATGGCAATTATCGGAAGACCGCTGGTTCCTAGCACTGCGTGCCACCTAATCAGAATGGAAAGTCAGGTCTTCCAGCTTTGGTGCGGAGAGCTGCCAGGCTGTGGAAGTGTTTGTGTGGCATTTAGTGTCTGCTGGTTCAGCAGCAGAGCGCAGGACAGGCATGCTCGGGGCAGCTCGATCAGCACATCCGGCCTTACTGTGTCTCCCTCCCCTCCTCTCTGTGCAGCTTCTCCAGAGCATGCTCATCTGATTGCTTCTAATTGATTCGCTGACCCAGAGAGGCTGCGATCTGGGCTGGGGAGGCACCATAGGTGTGTGTTTGAGTGTGTGTGCGGGAGTGTATATGTGTGTGTGTGTATGCCATGTACCAGTGGTCCACCTACTCACTGGTGGACTTTCAGTAGTAATCCACAAGGCATGTTTGAACAAAACCAGGATAATCACCTTTCAGGTGCTGAGAAGTCAAACTGTGTCCTTTCTCATTGTCATTTTGTTCCTCCCAGTGGTTTGTGTTGGTGGGTTATGGTATCCACCTGCCAAAAAAGTGTCTTGAAGCCCAGAAAGATTTGATTTCTTTTTTTTCATTCTTTGTTTGCTACTGCTGCTGCTTCTTCCTCTTCCTCATCCTTCTTCTTCTTCCTGTTTTTCCTCTTCCTCGTCCCCTTCCACTTCCTCTTCTTTTTTATTTCTTCTTCTTGGCCAACCACGCTACGTGTTCCCAAATAAAAATAGACCTGTGTTAACTGGGCTCAGTGTGTGGTGTGCAAACTGCAAGCCAAGTTGCCTGCTCATAGCTGTAGCACCAAACCTCCAGAGCCAGCCATGTGAGCTCACTCAGATGGCGTCCTCCTGCCGTCGCTCCCCTGAATGAAGATAAGAATGACCACCTGTAGCAGGTGGCCATTATAGAGAAGCAGTACTGGGGGCTGGCTTCATGCGTGGGGGATTCGTTGGATTTGATATCAACCAAGAAGATATTGATGTAGGTCTTTGGGAGCAGGGAAGAAAGGTCCTTTATAATACTTCCTCCCTACTGTTCTCCCCAACTCTTTATCAATTCCTTTCCTTCCAAAACATACCCTGAAAGTTAGTCGAAGGGCATGTGCAGCTTGGCGGGTTGGCAGTGCCTGCATTGCAGGACATCCTCTCCTTCCTTGGTGGCCATGGCTCATCCATGGTATGGAGCTGGTGGACAGCGTCCAGCTGGGGTTAGCCGCCAGCAGAGCTACATCTGGTGGGACTTCACAGGAAAGGCCACCAAGCCTCCTTCTCTAGCTGCCCGATACCTGCTGGATCATCTGTCTCACAGGAATTACTGAGGGAGGCTCACAGAAGGGTAGACCCCAATAGCAGGAGAGGGCAGAGGGCAGTTTCCTGGGGTACTGGCGTGGTGAAGGATGTCTGTCCTGAGTGCAGAAACAAAAAAAGTATAAAGAGCTGCGTGAGCAATGGAGTGCTCTGGAGACGCAGCTTTAGGACACGGGGCCAGTGGAGGCTCCCCCCACCTTGCCTGGCATTCCTCAGATGCCTTGTTGACATACCTTCCTCTGGAAGAAGCACTTTCTGCCCTAGAAAACGCCCATTCCTCCTCCAGCCTTGGCTGCCTCTGCCCACCAGTCCAGTGCCTCCAGTCCCCTGTGTGCAGCCTCTGGCGCACACCCTCCCTGCACCGCGTCTCTTCCTCCTGCTGTGTGCCTGGTCTTCCTGTCTCAGGTGAAGGCTGCAGGCACAAGCATGTGTGGGCATGAGTAGGCTGGTCTGTGTGTCACCGGTGACTTTGAAGGCCCTCACTCTCCCCTTGTTCTCCTTCCCTGGCTCCAGGCCGCTGTCTCTGTGGAGGACTAGGGAAGCATTCAGAGCATGCTGCACAGCCCTCCCAGGGCTGCTCTCGGTGGTCCCCAGCCAGGACCCAAGCTCATACCCTGAGAGCTTCTGAGAGCAGCATCCACCCTTATAGTGCCAGCTCAGGGTAGAAAATTTAAGGAAGTTCTCCTCCTTAGGGAGTATGCAGATATAGGGTCAGCCTCTAAGGTGAAGAGCCTCCTTAAACCTGGCACATGGGGCACTTTTCTTTGCTGGCCTCAGCCCTGCCAGTGCTGGGTGCCGAGGGGGCACTGGGATCTAGCCGACCCAGCTGAGCTTGGGGAAGTTACCTTTCCTGTGAATCTCAGTTTCCCTCATCCTGAGTAATGAGGGTTAAATTAGGTGATGTGTGTAAAGCATTCAGCAGGTGCTTCTGACATGTCTCAAGTGCTGGATGGATGTGTATGGTTACTGCTGTTCTTCGGGGAACATGGCAGTATCATGTGCACACCAGTCTCGGGTGAGCTCCACACTTGCAGCTCCAGCCCCGTGAGCACCAGCGTCCCTGCTTGCCCTTCTCGCGATCGTGTGTGATGCAGACCAGGAGGACTTGCGCAGGAGGTCAGGGCCTCCCACATTCTGAAGAGGATGTGTTTTGTGTCTCTGCTGCAGGAATTGCTTACTTAGGAGGTGTGTGCAGTGCTAAGAGGAAATGTGTGCTTGCCGAAGACAATGGTCTCAATTTGGCCTTTACCATCGCCCATGAGCTGGGCCACAAGTAAGTATCGGAACCTATTGTTCTGCTTCTTTAAATTCCTCCCTGAACACGCATTTCTCGCTTCAGTTCTGAAAGTTCTGTAACAGCGCTGCTCTGTGCTTTGGCTGCTTCTGCTTTCGGGCCAAGGCCAGTAAGCCAGTCCGCTCAGCCTGCAGTGAGCCCAGGAGATTACTGAGCAGGCTGGCTTTGAGTGTTGAAATGTTAATTTGAAGTTCATGTTTATTCTTAAAGCCAGCACAGTAAGGGGAAGAGGTTTTTCCGAGTGTCTTATTTTGTTGTGTTTGTGTTCTTGGGTCAGCATGATATTTGATACACTCTGAGTACATCATCATAATTAGAGGATTTATCTTTAGACTGTTGATTTTGTTTTCTTTGCAGCCAGTTTCAAACATAGTCAAACTTCTGCATATAGACTTGAAGTGTTTTAGTTTTAAACAATAAACAGCCACTACCATTGCATATGCAAATCCTTCCTTTTTAGACAGAAGGACCCTAGGACCTTAGAACCTAAAGATGTCTGAGGGAGAATTTGCGCCAGCTTCCTTTTTTTCAAAGGAGGAAACAGAGGGTCGGAGGGGTTAGCGGCTGGCCTGAAGTTGCAATCACCTGCAGGAAGCCTCAAGGGGCAGAAAGCCAGCTGACTCTCCAAAGGTTTACACTTTCTCCTGGAGAGAATGTCTGTTTTATGTTTCTCTGAAGGAAGACTGTGATGTGACTGTGTAATTTTTTAACTTAAAAAATCTAAATTGAGCCCGAGCATGCAAAACAATAAGAAAATTTATATTGGACTGTATAAAACATAATTAAGTGCAAGTATCTAGTGTGGGGGGGTGTTCATAATTTTTCTAATGACCTACACAGGAAGATGTCTGGGGCCTTAACTGTTAAGTTTAGCTTTTGTGAGAGCAAAGCCAATGTACAAAAAGCAGTATGAACGCAATTGTTTTCCTCTAGCATTAACCGTATCTGTGGTTTTACTTTGTATTTTATTTATCTGGTCCCATTTTAATTTTTTCACTGCGTAGAGGGGTTTGTAGTGGCTTCTTTTGGACTTGGGTCCCATGATGTGCATCAAGAGAGTGAAAATGCTGCTGTGTGGGTGCCGTGTGCATAGCATGAGGGCATCTTGTTGACCTAGGGGCTATCAAAGCAAGGTGAGTAGCTGTCTCTCCACCAGCATTGCATCATGACGTTACTTTTTAAATATTGCTGGAAACACTTTGTCCTCCTGTTTTTAAATTCAGTGCCATCACATTTATACTAACATCTCTGAGCTGTTAAAATGGCCGTGACAGGTATCTTCTGGCTATCAGAAGACCATGGTACCCAGAAATCACCTACCTGACAGTTTTAAGAGTGCAGTTTTAAGAATGCCAGCATCCAGGTTGTGATGGGTATTTGAAGTGTAAATTTAAATAAGATGGTTTGAGCTACAGTCTCGCGAATTGTGATGTTCCCCAGCAGCGTTCAGCATCATGGTGTATGCCTGAGAGCTGTTTGCACGCACTTGCGAGCACACAGTGTGGCGGTCTTTTCTCTTTGGATCTTTAAGAGCACAGAGGGCCATTTTTCCCTTGATGACCTGTTGGACTGTACTAAACCAAACCCTGGCTTGTTAGCACAGGAGGTCTGCAAAGATGAATGGTTAGATTCAGTCGTACAATAGTACCTTTAGCTATAGTCTGCTCAAAATTTCTTGGAGGAATCTTTATAGCTTGCCACTAGACTCTAATTACCTACAAAACAAACACCTTCTTGTTAATCAAAGGCAGTAAATCCTGCCAGCACTCAGGCCTCCCCCTTATTGGGTGGTTATGATTTTCCCAGGGAAGTGTGTTGTGTCGCATTAGTCTCCAGTGCTGAGAAAGCGCATCCCCCCAGCATAAAGCCATATCTTCCCCATCTACGGGCCTCTCCGGTCACCCCAGCTCAGGGAAGCTGGCAATATCATGTGGACTGCTTCAATAGACCAAGACCTTGACACTTAGCAAAGCCAAGCACCAAGCTGCTTCAAAAATACAAAACCTGAAAGCTGATCCGTGTTTTGAAATAGAGAGGAGCAATTTAACTGTGTTAAGAAAATCCCCAGGTGGCTGACCTGCTGGTCCTTCACCATCACCACCAATGAGACATCCTCCTGGCAGGGTGAGGTCCTCTGCCCCCGGGCCGTGGAGGTGTGGCTGTGCTGTCGGGTTCCCTGCCAGCACCTGCCTTCAGATCTGAATGTCAGGGAGAAGATTCTCTTTCAATGTGAGTTCCTCATTCTGTTTATCAAACAGGAAGCCCCATAAATTAACGTGGTTTTCTTTCTGCCTCAGCTGTCAGAAACCATAAAGCTAAAGTAAGGTTCATCTTCAGCAATTAAGTCATCTACATCCTGCAATTATACTTACCCTCCTCTTCTCTTGGTAGTGTTTCTTTTTATGAGTTTATTTTCAATAATTGAAACAAATTATTTGATAGTATAAACAGGCTCTAATCCAATTTACAATCCAATACATTCTAGTTATAAATGAAATTAAAAATTCCTACCGTGGTTATATACCAGTCATGCCGCTTTGAGCATGAATTAATAATGTACTGATGGTGTTTAAGTCAAATCAGATCTCTGATTTATTGAGCACCTCCTATGTGGCAGGTGATGTGTTAGATTTTGTGCATCCATTACACTACCGAACCAGTCCTATGAGGTAGGTATTACTTACCTTTTATGTTGTAGGTTAGGAAACTAGCTTTTTAAAAATATTTACAGTCTTTGCATAACATGATTTGTGATGACTTGTATAATACCGACGCAAAATAGGCACGTTAAAAGGAGAATCCGGATTACAGCAGATAGGTAATAAAGCAGACAGCTTCATGGATATCCAAAAACCAAGGTACCTTCTGTTTCAGGGAAACAGTGCCTTGGCACGGCTGCTTCCCAGTGGCCCAGAGAGTGAATGTGTCATCAAAAGGTGCTAAAATATCACAGATGAGCCTCACAGCTTTCTGAAGTTCTGCCCTGACAGAGGAGGCCAGAGAAGACGCAGGCCTGGCTGCAGGGCCCCGTTGATGAGACCTGGGAGGGGCAGTCTGTGCTGCTGCTTGGGACCTGAGCTGACTCTGAGCATCGCCAGGCTGAGAGCACTTGGAGGTTTTAATGAGTGTCCGTGACCCGTTGGCCGCTTGGCTATGACAGGCTGCCCTTGCTTGCAGTTCTGTGTTGCCTTTAGGTTCCCTGTGAAGGGAAGAAAGGTGACCACCCCCCTGTCTTGTATTGATCACATGAGACCCTTACCTTACAACAGACGTGCTTTGCCTATGTCCTCTTTTGCCTCTTTTCATCCTGCAGGGACCATTGGAGAGTGATAGGGTGAGATATAGAAGACGGCAATGCTGAGCCTCTTGCACTGCAAATGCTATTTTTCAGAGTGGAATCCATGTAATGGAGCAGTTCCTTGAGAGGAAGAGCCCACCTGGACCACCATTCCTTGGGCTTTTTCCCCTCAGGAAACCAGACAGGGTGCCTTGTGCAGGAGGTCAGTGTCCATAGCGCTGATCAAAATTTGGTTTCAGAGAAAAAGAGGGAAAGCTAGAGGCAAGCGTTTTGTTTCTGTCAAGCAGGCCCAAACTTCCTAGGCTCCACCCAGATTGGTGTCTGGAGACCGTCCCCAATGAGAAACAGAGGCTCAGGTCTGCTGACCGCTCACAAGGAAAAGCAAAGTCAAGATGCCTTTCTGGATCAAGGAAGGAGTTCTAGTGACTTCGGTGTGATGCTAAAATGACTGGGTCTAGGACATGTGTTGTAATTTTAGAATATGTGTATATGATTATATTCTCCAATTTGGAGTGTCACATATAATAGAATATATTCTATGTCCGTATACAGATATATTTTATAGTTTGGAAGTTACAGTGTAAAAGACAGAAAGCAGGTAGCCCTGTGGAACTGAGGACACCTTCTGTTTTGAGGATAGTGGGATCTGATGTGGCCCCAGAAGGGCCCGTAGTGGGTAAGAACTCACTGGTTAGCAGCCAGGAGAGCAGAGAGTCGATGCTCACCTAGTCCCTCTGAGCTAGAGGAAACCTCGCACCCTGTATACACAGCATGCTTCTCAAGCAGGGAAGGGCAGCATCTAAAGACAAGGCATTCCAGATGGACTGACAGGGAGAGGAGGGAGTCCATTATCCACAGTGAAAGAAAGGATGTATGTTTGCCAATAGGAGCAAAAAAATTTCAGTCTGTAGAAAACGTGTCCGCTCTGTGGAGCTTAGGAGGCCCTATGAGAGAAGTCTGCGCCAGATCAGGCCTAGAGACGTGTCTGCTTTGAGAACCAGCCCAAATCCTGGGACCCCTCAACCCAGTGGGCTTGGGGAAAGTCTTCTAGACAGGAAAATGCCACTCCTGAGGTCAGCCTCTTCCTCTATCCTTGCTCGGAGCTTCTCCCAGCCTCTTCTCTCTGGCTTTCTTCTGGGCATCCCTATGCCTTTTCTCAGGTCAAAGAACTATTCTCTCTCCAGTTCGGAATGTATGTCTCCTCTGGCCAATGGGCTCAGCCTATGGCCTCCAAATAATCCTCCCTCTGCAGAGGTTTGCCACTTACCTTAGATGACCTCTGAGCAGTGGCCCACAAGAGGATCATGTGGGACGTTTAGAAATGTGGTGGCAATGCTTCACCTAGATGGATCAGCCTGCTGGCTCTGGGGAGAAGCTTAGAGAGGCTCTCCAGGAGGTCACCTGCATCCCAGGTGACAACACATAGGCATGACATCCCAGGGGCTCCATCCCTGCTTCAGCCACCTTCTCCCTTCTGTCCCTTGCTCCCACACGCCCATCCTCCCAGGCATCTCTCTGTATTAGGTCACAGTGGTGCTGAAAATTGTGCTGCCCTCTGGCCCCTGCTGTCTCTTCTGAGCGCTCCACCCACCAGTCATGTTCAGGAAAGGCTTAGTCCTGTCGTTGTCCTCTCATCTGACACCTCCCTGGGGGCCTCAGTGCGGGTACCCACAGAGTGAGG